CTCAGTGTACATCTGAACCTTCACAGTGCTGGGATTTAAGACAGGATTCAGGTTCATTTTTCCTCTGAGCAGATCCTTTCAAAGTGCAATTATTTGATCTCTCCAGATGAAGCATCCACTCCTTTCACCCAGACCAAATCCTGGCTTACAGTATTTGGAGTGGTGATCAAGGTCACCGAGCAGCTCCAACTGCATCTAAGATCTGTGTCTGCTTTCAGGAAAAATAGTGTTCTGGAAGACTCCTTAGAAAACCAAAAGAATTATTAGACTGCAAGAGCAGGAGCAGATCATTTAATGAAAAATATTTTAACACAACCATCTGCCTATATCCACTTCATTCCCTCTTCTGCTTTCAATGATTCCTTTTAGATTACAGGAATTGGGGACTGCTATGAGGAGTAGCACCATATCGCTAAAAATATGCAGGATTTTAACTATTTTTAAGTTCAAAGATTTGAAAGCATACACGATATATTCAAAACAAGAGAACCAATATATAAAACATGATAAATAAAAAGGTGGAAACAAGCATGCACATGTACCAAGGTACTCATTCATAGACAAAAAGTGGCATCACTATTCTGCATTCAGAGGCAAAGTTTTCTCCATTTAATATTTCTCAACTTCTTTTATCAAGAACTACTTAGTTACTGTTCTTGTACAAAGGCAGCAGCACTGCCTGAGCTTGCATATGCTACTATTCTAAGAAAACTCATCAAATTAAGTGCGTGCTTGTTGGTGGCCTTGGCCATGAGTAAAAGCTATTTGGAAATCACTGACTCCAGGTCACCTCTACCTTCTCTGCTTGCGCAGTCGATTGGGTAATAAAGCCTATACAGACATCTAAGGCAAACAGACCTTGCTGGGTTGACATGTTCTGACTTTTTATGGATTCAGCTAAACTGCCACTTCAAAAGAGAAAGAGAAAAATATTTTTATCTTCCACACACTTTGTGTACACCAAAGCTAACGATTATAGCCATCAATGCATCATCTTGGAGATTCACGGGGCCCATACTGCAATATCAGTCGATTTGTTCAGGTATTAGGAGCTAGAACTGGATAAACCAATAACGTAGTCACTAAACTGATTTTTTTTTATTTCAAAGTTTTACTGCAGTATGGCCTGAAGGTTGCAACTAGAACCCAGCAGCCCCTATCTTTAGGAATTGCAGGCACACCAAGAGACATGGCACCAGCCATTAAAAGCTTAAGAATCAAGCATCAAACCCAAGTTTGAGTACTTGCTCAGTAGTTCTTAAATGGTCTAAGATCTCACCAAATTAATTTGGAGACTGAGATGGATTTATAAATGTAAAACAATAGCTCTTACAGAATAATTCCCTAAAGGAATTTTTTTTTCAATTCCCCAGTTAAGAATGTCTCGCTCTGTTTACCTTAACGCAGTTTGGAATAACACAAAGAAGAAGCTTCTCATACCCCAGAAAAAGAGCCCAAATAGGTAGCTTATAGATCACATATTTAACTCAAGAGCAAACAGCTCCCAGCAAACAGAAAATAAGGAGATACCCTCCCCCTTTCTCAGTTTTAGATGAAAAACTTTTTAAACCTAGTTTTTTTCCTTCAAGACTGCTGCCGAGAGAGCTCTTCAGACCGTTACTAAAGGAGAAGAGTTGCAAGTAAGAAATGCAAGAATCATAGAATGGTTAGAGTTGGAAGGGACCTTAGAGATCAAGAAGGTGACTTCTGGTCTGTCATCTAAGTTCTGTTAATCATCTGTTTGAAGTTCAGTAGTCTTTTTGGGTAATGTCTGTAATGAAAATATTGAAATCGCACAGTGAAGCACATCATGTTTCCAGTTTTTAAATATGAAACATACAGCAGAATTTATCAAAGTATGACTAGACAAAGTAAATTGCTTTCCAAAAACTAAGCCATCTTATTTTACCTTGTCTCAGTAGCAAAACCCAACTAAGTTTAATTAAAACAAATCTTGCAGAAAGCGAGCATAACAATGAGAATTAAACAAAAAAACGAGAAGATTGAGAAATTGATTTTCAAGTTTGGTTCATTCCAGTAGTTCAACTTTGGAAAAATGTGTTTTAATTTCACTTTGAAAGTACCTGAACTAAGTTTGCAGCTTTGTACAAGCTTCTAATTCTTCACAGGGAAAAGCCCTGTGAAGTAACTGCCCACTTTATATCACCTCACCTCTCTGGTTTCTTCCTGATCAGATGCCTGTTTTGAACTGGTTTAAGATACTTGATTTTTGTGATCCCATCTCTAAAGTTCTTAAGAAGCAGGACCAGTACCGTAAAATAGTATCAAACTCACCAATAACAAACAACACAGATTAAAATAATTTCCCAGTCACAAGGTAAACTCTGTAAACCTCAAAGGGCTGTAAATATTTCTGCTGCACAGTTTTACTGTCATCCCATTCCTTTCCAGGGCCAGCACTTTCCAGGCTATTGGTGTCTTCCACAGTTCGTTCCAGATTTGTAACTTGACATTTGGCTGTATTAAGGACGCAGTTGATCTGATTGCTAAAGTTCCCTAAATGTTCATTGTAGTTGCTGCCTATTGTTGTCATTGCACTATTCTTTGTGTTTTCAGAGTTTATTTTCAAATCATTCATAGAATCATAGAATTTTCTAGATTGGAAGGGACCTTTCAGATCATTTAGTCCAACCATCAACCGAACTCTGATAAAAAATCATCACTAAACCATGTCACTAAGCACTATGTCAACCTGTCTTTTGAACACCTCCAGGGATGGTGCCTCTACCACTTCCCTGGGCAGCCCATTCCAAGACTTAATAACTCTTTCTGTGTAAAAATTTTTCCTAATATCCAATCTGAACCTCCCCTGGTGCAACTTGAGGCCATTTCCTCTTGTCCTATTGCTTGTGGCTTGGGAGAAGAGACCGACCCCCACCTCTCTACACCCTCCTTTCAGGGAGTTGTAGAGAGTGAGAAGGACTCCCCTCAGCCTCCTTTTCTCCAGGCTGAACACCCCCAGCTCCCTCAGCCTCTCAAACAGCACCAGTCCTACTTTTAATCTCATCAGGAACCCACTCCAACTATATCCATCCAAACAGAAACACCACAAATTTACTGCCTTTGGGGTGCCATGAGTTCAGTATTTATTATTTCAGACTCTTCTGAAATAATCTGCCCATCAAACAGCCCCTGCCTACACTGAAGCCTGTCAGGCTTAATCCGCACAAGCAAGGGGAAGGTGCATCTCTTGGTCTCTTCTCCCTGCACAGAATAATACAATTTAAAGGTCGTGGAAGCTTTAGTTTAGTGCTAAGCAGGGAGCTGGTAACAACACCTCCGAGTGCTCACGTGCTCTTCCTTGGTCCATTTAATATTGGACAGATTTTCACCAAAGAGCAATGATATTGCATGATATAGCTGTTAACATAACGCTAATTGCTCAAGCGTGTCAGATTAAAGCAGAATGTTTACTGTGCTGCTGAAAAAAAACAAGTCCAAACCCTAAAAACTAACAAGCCTGATTGTGTTTACCCAGAATAAATGTTTACAAAGATGGGAGCAGTGTCAAAAAAAAAAAAAAAAAAAGCAAGCACAAGTATTCAGGTGCAGAGAGATCTCCTTAAGAGAAAACATTCAGTTTTGGATTTTTTGGTTCTTGGGTGATAAAGGATTTCTGGGAAAGAAGGAGGGGTGAAGCCTGAGCCTTTCATAAGCTGCCTACAGGTGCAAGGGACAGGATTATTACCTGCATCTCATGGAAGCTAAGAGGAATTCCCAAGAAGCTCAGCAGCCTGGCTGTGAGGGAAGGATCCTCCTCCTCCACCAAGTAACTTCTCTCTTGAAGCCATTCTCAACCATGTATCCACATGGGTCTGCATTCAAAGAACTGCTTTGTGCCAAAAATGCCAAGATGTTAGCTACAAGAGTGAGAATTTAATGTTAATAAAGAGGTATAACACAGAATCACAGAATCTTCTAGGTTGGAAGGGACCTTAAAGATAATCTTGTCCAACCATCAACCTGACTGACAAAAATAGACACCCGCACAACAAACAAGGAGCATCATCACTAAACCATACCTCCCAGCACTACATCAACCCGTCTTTTGAACACCTCCAGGGATGGTGCCTCAACCACCTCCCTGGGCAGCCCATTCCAATGTCTGATGACCCTTTCAGTGAAAAATTTTTTCCTAATATCCAGCCTGAACCTCCCCTGGAGCAACTTGAGGCCATTTCCTCTTGTCCTGTCGCCTGTGACTTGAGAAAAGAGACCGACCCCCACCTCTCTACACCCTCCTTTCAGGTAGTTGTAGAGAGCAATAAGGTCTCCCCTCAGCCTCCTCTTCTCCAGGCTGAATAACCCCAGCTCCCTCAGCCTCTCCTCATAAGACTTGTGCTCCAGACCCCTCACTATCTTTGTCGCCCTTCTCTGGACCCGCTCCAGCACCTCAATGTCTTTTTTATGGTAGGGGGCCCAAAACTGGACACAGTACTCGAGGTGAGGCCTCACCAGTGAGATGGAAGATTCTGTAGATTTTAAAGTAGTAAGAAGCAGTGAAACATGTGAACAGAAGCACTGATAAATTTTCTTAGTGCTTGACAAAATAATATCTACTACTGGGACCCCCAGTTACCCTCAGCTGCTACCAAACACTGAAGTTTGTCAGCTATTTGAAACCAAGAGATTGTGATAATGTGCAATTGTGGGTTTTGGCCTAATAAGAGGGGGAAAAAAAAATAATCAATTTAGTTAACCACTGTCCTTCATACATCAGTGTTTAATTAATAATGGTCTTCAGAAGTAATAAGGAACACAACTTTGCCTATATTCTGAACTGAAATATGCCCAAACCACAGATTGCCCAAGATCGATACAGCGATACTGACTTTGGCCTTGCATTTATATAGAGAAACATTAGGGTATAAAATATATGAACAGGAAGTGTCCATTCCTTTCAGGCTTAAATATTTGGCATGTAACACAATCACCACTTCAGCAGAACATAAATCAGGAAGAAAACAAGAATTGTTGCCTATGGTCTTTTTAGCTCAAAACTTTAATTACTTAGCACGCGAAATGAGTTATGAATAAAATCATGCAGATAATTCACATTACAAAACAAAATACTTCAAGTACAATTGCACATTTAAAATTTTGCCAAATATCTACTCTGAGGTAAAAATGTAACATTAATCAAATATACTGAGCAATTGTGAGCTTAGCATAAATAAATAAGTATTGATATTTTCAGAATAAAATAATCAGTGAAAACAGCATTTTTAACACATATATTGGTACAAGAGATCCAGTCCATTTACCCTCTTCCAGAGTGTGTGACCCACTCATCTGATATAAAGCCACAAATACTATAAAATTGCATACTACTAAAGCACAGCAGCCAGTTTGCCCACAACGTAAGATTCCTACCTGCATACTGCCCAGTTATTTGAAAAAATATATCGTTTCAAAGATTAAAGGGTTTAATTATACAGCTTCCAAACGAGTACAGTGAAAGCTGCACAACCAAATCCCCACTGAATACTAGAAAATGCCTTCGGCCAATATTCCAAATATAAAGATGTGAAATTCAGGTTGAAAATATGTAACCAATTAACATGTCTACTTTTGTGCACGCGAGTGACAGCATAAACAAGTTGTGTGTGCACCTCAGCGAGTTGGGTTTTTTTTTGTTTGGAGTTATTTAAGTAACTGCTCATGTGAAGAAACTTGTAGCTGCACAGGGTTCAACTGCATATTCAGGTTCTAAGTCACCACAGGCCTACTCTCATGAAATCTAAATCACAGCATTTCTCCAGATGATAGTGGTCTCTCCAGTTTTTAACTTCAAGAAGAAAGAGAATCATACTTATTTTCACAAGTAGAACAACTATAATACAAATGAGAACAATCTATTATAGTCTGCAATATAGGTTTGCATCTCCTGAATTGATTCACTCATACGAGCAACAATACAGGGCAAATTACATAAAAAATAGAATATAAATATTAAACTGCACCATGAAACACTACAAACAGAATATACAAAAATGATATTAGGGTATTAATTATCTGTCAACCTCTTAAACAGAACACCTTAATACATTATGGAAGGTAAACAAAACCTACAGGCTTAGTTTTCACATGGCTGTTTGTCAATGCAGCATAAAACATTTCCATAGTGCAAATCTTACCAACTGTATGAAAAGATACTATCCCCCTTCAAAAAAACGCTTCTCCCCCCACCCCCCCTCAGAATAATCAAGAGACATCTCACATTTAGTACAAGATGTGGTATGAAACATACTAACATAGGGAAGCTTAATTTTAACACTGAAAAAATGGTTGAATAGTGTCGAGAAACTAAAATAAAAAAGTTAGATATGCTGGAAGACATGAAACCCAAAAATCTGATCCATGGAAGCGAGGGAATAAAAAACACGCTGATCTTTCTTTTTTTTTTCATCTGTTGGAAACATATTGTAGGACAATACAGCACACTCCCTGCATTGTACCAACCACTGTAAGATTATTTGAATTGCTGAAGAATCACAGTGTTAAGTATATCTGCTTCTTGTAGTGTGAGGCTTTCATCTGTTAGCTCTCTGTTTGGAAAGGTAGTCACAAGAACAAAATCAGTTGTTGCAAACGCTGGACGGGACTGGATAATGAAATCTCGAATATCCTTAATCCTGGGGAGAGGATACAGACATGAAAACTGTGTATGATTCCATTTCGACATAAACCTTTGAACATTAAGATGATCAGAGAACACAAAACCTTCTAACAGCATTTAATATGTCCTACTGATTTTACATTTCCATTTGATCCAGATGAATAATAGCTGCAGCCTAGATTTTTTTGCTTCTTGCATAAAAAAACTGAAAAAATAAAATGAATGTTGCTTGTTTTCTCAAATAACAGAAATAACACTTGTAACATAGAAGCATATTGCAAACTGATACTTAAAACAGAAAGTCAAGTAATTTCAAAACCAGCTGTCAAGAATTTCACTATTAATTAGTATATTCTAAAAAGGCTAAATTATTAATGGAAGGAGAAACCTCAAGATATATGGCGACAGTGATGAGACAGCAGAAGGGAATTATTAATGTAATTCAATAGCAAGAGGTTTCCCCTACTTTCACTTAGCACTGAACTTCTGAACAATAGTTCCTAAAACAATCACATCAACAGTATAACTAGAATAATTTCGTTTTATAAGACATTGATGAAAAAGAAATAAGGTTTTAGAGATAAAAACCTGAAATTTGATGCTTCTCTCCTAAGACAGTAAGCTGAGAATAAATTTTTGAAGATCTACTGTAACTAGTAAGTAGGCAGATTTACTGCAGCCAAATAAGCAGGGACTTCAACTTTCTACAAGTCCTTAAGGCTTATGACACAAGCAATACACTTTAGGATAGCTAAAAAGATTCACATCTAAGAGAAAAATAATGCTGAAAATAAGCTTCTGTCAACACACCCTCGTTTACAGATGTTACTGGGAAGTTTACCACTTTACCCTTTCATGCAGACAGAAGAAAACACATCATGGCTACAGAGGCTCCCAGGAAGCCCTACTGTTTATCTAAGTCACTTCTCCAGCAGGTGATCCGAGGATCTGAGCCTGTACTATTAGTGTACATTAATAATCTGGTCTGCTAAAATATGAAAAATTATTGCTGTATCTTCCTCCCTATTCACAACGTGCCTAAATGGCCTCACTGTGGTCTGTGTATGTTGTCAGGTGAAGAAAGCTGTACCTTGGCTCTGCCCTTACACTGAGGAAACAGGTGAACTCTCCATGTAATGGTATTAACATGGAATTGGGTCCATGCTAAGACAACCTTCAAGGCAGGATTCAAGCTCAGCTTCAGCTGTGTTTTAACACAACAGAACAGCTTTCAGATCAGGGCTGGCTTGAACCCTGCTTGCTGTGAAGCGTGGGTGGAACTACTGCCCAAATCTCTGCCCTCTGCCCAAAGTTCTCTCAGCCACACCATGCAAAGCAGAGCTTTGCAGAACCTTGCACTAACACAACCTCTTAGGCAAATAAATGGGGTTGGCCAACACCATTTGTGGCCATGCCCCAACAATGTCAATAAAGCTGATGGCAAGCTCTAATCAGCAGCTCTAATCTACTAACAGATCTAAAAAACCCACCAAGTTCACACACTGCCAGTTCTTAGGAGATGACCATCCCAAACACAACAAAGGTTGGTTCTCATTATTATGTCCAGCCCACGTGCCAGAACTGCAAATGAGCATATACCTTATATACCCTTCTGTTTAGGGGCTGTAATCTACACTTATAACCCATGTCATGTTAAGTCACAGGCTCAAGTGAGGTAGACCTCAACGAGGTAGAAAACTGGAGCTCTTTGTTATGGGCCACAGGATTTCTCTGCCTGTCGTGTGGACTATATTCCAATTGAGACCACACTCCACACCTTGCAATAAAGTGCCTTCACTGTGTCAGCTGAGTCAGCCACACACTCCTCCCAAGCAGAGCCCAGGGCTGGGATGCCTTCAGAGCAAGGCTGGCCACATTTCAGTCCCCCCCGAGAACAGTCAGGGCTGGTACCGTGTCCTTACAAACCATGGGACATAACTGGTCATAAAAGTTTAAGGCTTTGCAGTCACCAAATATCTTGTGTTTCCAAGTACAGAATTTTGCTTTGACAGCCAATTAATCAGTACATCTATGTTAGGAAAATGGCACAGAGCTATAGCATCGCAGTGGAGCTGTATTTTGATGTCTTGCTGATATTAGTTTAATGACAAAATGCAAACTTCTCAAGATAGTTATGGTTACCTGCATTGATGCAGAATCGACTTACCTGTGTGTCTGATTAAATCTTTGTATTAATCGGCTTCCATCTGCTAATCTAATCTGAATTTTAGTTGCTGGCATGGAATCATCAATCAGAATAGGCGCATTAAGAATGGATTTCTCCTCCTCTTCTGGGGAAGAAGGTGTGCTGACTATTTCAGGTGTAAGGCTGAAGGGTTAAAAGAAACCAATAAATCAGATGTTACTAATGGAGTCACATCAGAACTGAATAATGTTTCAATTGTCTTTTTCACTGCATGAGTACCATCTATAGCTACTGCAAATGAGCAATGAAAACCCTCTCAAAGTTATCTAAACTAAGTATAAACAGCTTTTCTAATAGAGACGCAAATAATGTTTTTGTAGTTTGTCAACAATTGCAATACTTCATATATTTTTTTCTTATAACTGTGCATATCATTGCACTTGCATGATTTTAAATAGGTAATCAAGTACAAAAAACCTGTATTTATGCTTACAGACCATGGAATGAGAGTCTTCGACACTGAGATTTATGTATTGTGCTCCCTGGACTGTATTAAAAAATAATCATGAACCATTATAGTGCACTAAACTGACCCAAAGTGCTTTAATAATTGCTTACAGGAGCACTGCTTTATGAATCTGGACATCCTCAACCCTTTTAGAGCACAAATGATATTAACAGTTAATTGATATCACCACTCAGTAAGCATGAATTTTGTTTACATTTAGCATTAAAAAAAATAATATCTGATTGGGGATAACCATTTGGCTGCTCCTTTCATTCCTTACACACCTAAGACCTCATAAGCTACCAGAACAAACAAAAATGCCATGCAACAGTTATGTACATTTTCACACACACAGAACCTCCTCTCTTCCCCACCTATTTTCTTTAATAATCTGAGCAAGTGCTCATGTGAAGAAGTTATTGCATACAATTGTTCCCTACGTCACCCCTACCAGAGCCTACCACCTTCTCAGTTTTACTGACCACATTTCCTCATTTATAAAAAGAGGATATATAGATTAGAAACAGTTAAGAATCCCCTATTGAATTAAACTACTTGCAGAAGCACACCAGTAATACCTTTTTTTGGCAACCAAACATATTACATGAATAAATGCAACTGTGAACAGAAAGTACTTACAATTAAACAGCTAATATCGAGTCAGCTGGAAAAAATGCTACAAAGCCTATAATTGTTATGTGAAAAAGCTGATGACTGGCAGAGTTGAGGCCGCGTTTACTGCTTACTGCTACTGAGCAACTTAGAGCCTGAAAAGAGATTATGCACTTTTGGACAACGTAGTCTGAAATGCTCAGTTACAGGAATGAATTTTGGAACATGATGTATTAGTTCAACTGAATACACAGAGTTTTAACAGCATCAGCCTACCCTTGCGCCAGGACAGTAAATGGAACAGAACTGGGTGTAAGCTTTTCTAAATCACAAAATTTCAGGTTTTTTTATTAGATATATGAATTACCATAGCTGGAGATGACACTAGAATTGGAGGAAGTGGGGGCTCCAATCAGAGGTTAAAAGTTGAGCCTCTCCTCTCCCATAATCCAGGGTTTGCAGTATTATTCCGTCTAGGGGAGCATGTACAATTTCTCTGGTTGTTTGCTTTTCAAAACCAGCTCCTACTATAGAATTTTGCAGCATCACTTCAAGTTTTAATCCAATCCTAGTAAAAGTTGAGAGATTTTGATTCAAATTATTGCTTATTCATTTTGGATCAAATTAAAATAAATCAATTTATCAAATTATTTCTTTTTCTTAAAGCTAACAGACTTGCCTGGTATAACTTATAATGGCTGACTGATTAAAAGGTTATATTTCAGAACAGTATTTCTGCTGCTTCGTTCCAGAAAAAATATGGGAGTTGCTCCCATACAAAAATACTTTCCATCTACATTAATTAAGCATCAGCCATATTGCTGCAATAGCATCTCCTGTTCCCTTTGTGATGATCCCAGCAGTAAAAGACAACATGGACTGCAGTTAAACGAGAGCCAAGTGTATCCTTACTGGCCAGTATCATACTATAATTAAGTTCTGCCTGTTCCTCACTAAATGGGGAACAGTTCATTTGGGTCTGCTTCCTCTATCCAGGGATTTTCTCTGTTTGTACAGTACTAATCATCTTTCAGATTCCTTTGCTCCTGTTTTAAACACAGCTGAAGTTAAAAAAAAGATGGGCAAAATTATATGCAAGAACAGGCAGAAAAATTTCATAGTCACAACAAAGCACAAAGCATCTAACAGATCTCTGAGCAGTTCCAACAGAGGGCTAAGACTTAACTTTTTTAAGATTATACATAAATATGGTGACTCTGAAGTCAGGGCTGAGACTTGTGGCACAGAATAATTTTAATTGCTTTTGTCACATGATTAGCTTCTCCAGCAATCTCCTAATTGATTAAATCCAGCTTGTGAAATAGCATATGAATACAGAACAGAAAACCTTGTGCTTTTTACCTTCCAAGTTTTTGCCCTTCGCCACTGAAAGCTTTGAAACGCAGTCTCGGCTTCACGTATTCCTGTTCTTGGTGGTCTTCCATATCCAAATTAACTTGGCCACCATGAACAATTCGCTGCAATTCCACAGGAATTTCCCTTAATTACAAAAAGAAAAGTTTCCCAATTATGTTCTGAACTGCAATACAAAATTACACAAAAACTTTACACAGTACAATATGAGTCGATAACATTAGAATATTTACTATATTACACTTTAGATGTCATACATGTCCAATTGTTTTATGACTTAATCTCATCTTAAAGGAAGGAAAACAATCAGTAATCTGACAGTCAAAATCCAGAATGCACTAACAAAACATGTGAAACTAAAAGCCAGCTGCAACATTTTAACTTACCCTCTTTTAACAGACTCAAGAAACTGAGCGTTTGTTGGGTCTGAGTAGGATCTCAACTCCCCATCATCTAAACTGAAGCCATTCCTCCATAGTTTCAGCAAAATTTGAACCTATGAAGTAAAAATGGTGAAGTAAAAAAAAGTGAAGATAGATAAATAAAGTATTTCAATTTCATGCAGATTAGTTATGCAATTTTTGATCTATATTTAACAGATTTTGTAGCAGACCACAAACGAGAATGCAAGTGACAAAAGAACAGAGCCCTGCACTGTAACTATCATTGTTAGAATCCTTTTTAAAAAAGCAAATAATAGTTATAGACTACAATCTACTTCAAGATCATCTGGGGAAAAAGAATCTCTTAGTCTGTTATCCATGACATAAGAGATGATACAGTAGTTATCTTCAGTGTTCCAATTACTTTCAAAAACTATGTTTCTTGTTGCTGAATTAAGAAATAAATCCATAAAATTACTGCTGATACATCAGTTACAGTGAAAAGTATTATTTCCTAATATTATTATGTGCTGAGCTCCAATAAAGTTGGTACTACCTCCATCCAGTTGAAATGCTGAGAATCCTGGAAACTGGCCTCCTTCAATCCCTTCTTATTTTGCTGCGTGACTAAGTCCTTCAGAGGCTGCACCTCTTTTCCCTGCAAGTGCCCTGCAGTTGAGCACAACCAGGCTTTCCTGGCCAGCAAAACTGACCTTCCCTTAGAAAAAACTATCCCTGCCCACAGTTAAGGCGACCCCACTGCAACAGGCTTCTGGCTCAGTACAGCTGGCTATTACTTAGAAGACAGAAGGATTACTTAAGAGGGTAGGAGGCAGCAGCTCCTGGTGTGACATGACAGCATGCCCCAACCCGAACCACGTCCTTTGGCCTTGGGTTTGCTTCTAGATAAACTTAACATTTTCTCTAGCCATTCACACAAATGGCAAAGTGAAGAGAACTGTGGTTTTTCTTCACCCTCTCCCTTACTTCCTCCTTTCTAAATGAGAGGAAGAAAGGTCAGACAATTTCCAAAAAGGCACCTAACCTGCTGCTTCACCATTCCTAGGATACATCCATGCCCTCCTGTTTGAGATTGGCTACTTTGCAAGCCACAACAAGAAACAATTCCTAACTTAAGAGGAGCATTATCTTTAAGGGAATTAACTGAAAGGAATGTCTGCCAAGAATTTAAAAGTAATTTACATCAGAAAATTCCACAATGGATGCCTTAGAGGTGTCCAATGAACATCTGTTCTCTGTGGATGCTTTCACTTTAACTATTTCTACTGAACACATATCTATTATTTAGATACTAGTTTTTCCTCATAGACATAGTAATGCTGGCATTTCAAGCTGTAAACATCATTAAGCAGGCATCTGTGAGAGATCCTATTTCCTGCTATTCAGAATTCTACTTACATCTTGATTTTCTCCATAGATGTATTCAGAGTGCTTTTGCGATGAGTCACCCAATCTATATCCACCACCAGAAAATGACTGGGGAAAAAAAAAATACATAGAAAAGCTTATTGAAATAAATATCTGAAATAGTTTATCAAAATTCTTACCGAGGTGCAAATAGAAGCATGAGGAAGCTTGCTTCTGTGATAAAAAGCAAATACACTGTTCTAACTGGTATATTCTTTAAGTGGAAAATTGTACCCAGTAACCATAATCAGGCTAAGCAGGTTTTATGTGATGCATTTCAGTTTCTAATCTGTACAGTTTTTCAAACATTAGTAATTCAACAGATAAAGAGATTTTGATTGGGATGCAACTGCAGCTTTGTTTTTTTTTTAATCAGTTTTAATTAAAAATAAAGCAAGCCATTCCAGTTCAGGTTGATTTCTAATGATTACCCCTGCAATTGTGTGCTTCCTCCCCACTTTATTTTCTAGAGCAAGCTATTTGAGCGCAAACACAACTGTGTTGATCAAATCCTCTGCTATTCACAAACCACAAAAAGGTGTATTTGCTCTCATGTGGTTAGATAAGTTTCAGAGAGACTAATGTAAATAGAGATCAAAATATTTTTTAACTTTTACCTTAGCTTTACTGAAATCACCAGATGCTCTTGCGGCTTCATCTAAAGGAACAGCCCCGTGTTCTTTTGCTTCCTTGAAGAGTTCAGCAACAATTTTACTCGGATTATTAGAAGCCCCAGAAATCTGTAAGTCTCTATATTCTGAGTCACCTGAATAAAATCTTTAGAATAGTAACGTTCATAAGCAACAACGCTTTAAATGACAAGCATCATTTTCCTCTTCCCATCAAAAGAAAAAAAAATGAACAGAGAGTCACATTTGGCACAAAACCTTTTCATTCTGATCACAGAAATGTTACACTTGGCTTTGACCTTCCCAGCAATCCAAGCAGCACATTTCACTAACAAAACTATCACGGTGCCTTCTGGAACAGACCCCAGAGGTCAGGGGTCAAGGATATATGTTTAAGTGAATGCAGTCCTGATGCAGCTGTGGCTTTATACATCTTATACATGTTATGTGGATGGCACCTGCTCCCAGAAAGTCCTCTTTCCTCCAGGCTGTCCTGTGTCTGGGCTGGTTAGAAAGATTCACAAGTAACACTGCCTTGGCAGAGCAAGTGTAAAACTGTCGTTGGAAAACTTGAACAGCGCCACAATTTGCTCTTTAAATTTAAAGATCTAGTCTACTTTCATTCCTGCCAATATCAGAAATGGAAAGTTTTTAATAAATTTAATTAACCTTTCAAGACATTTTAAAATCTGCAGAAACTGCTTTGAAAGCTATTTTTGCGCTTTTTTTTTTTTCAACATAGCCCCATTTCTAGCTCTTGAAGATAAAAGGTTAAACTACAAATAGTTCTGTTGAAAACTGTATCTGCTTGACTACGAAGATAAGATATTTCTTGATAATTATCTTGAGGAAGGAGCTATAAATCTCTAAATACCAATGGAACAGATGCTGTAAAAAAACTATATATAAATACAAGAACTAGCAAACTTGAGGGTGTTTTGTCTTTGATTATAAGAAGCATTAATAACTAACAAAATAAATGCTTTCTACTTTCCTTAACTTTTTCACTTAACCACTTGGGGCAATGCAAATCAATTAATTCATGCAAAAATATCTCTTAGGCCAATGTCTTTAAAATACTGTTGATTCCACCATATTTTACAATTACCCAAACCCAGCAGTGGTTATGAAGGTGCTCTTAAAATCATGCTACTTTAATGACACCATATAACTGGCAATCCCTTAGTATCATCTCTCCTTTGTACATGAATCTGTATTTATTATCCCAATTGCCATTTATATAGAAAATCTTTGATTATTTGATTAAAAAAAAATTATAGTGGTAAGGAAATGGAACAAGAATTCTCATCAGAGCTTGTATTCAAGAAAGAAAGGAAGTACTCAAATATTTGAGTAATGGATACACAGAACAATTCAGCATATTTCAGAAAAGGCAAAAAAGCTTCTGAATCCAAGTATTAAGTTACATCCTTTACATCCATACAGTCAGTCATGTGTTCAGGCACATCATATACAGGTCCTACACGACTACAGCCAGATTCTGCTAAATATAGTTTTACTACAGCAGTGTATGGCTAATACCTGCTCTAATAAGTAACATAGAATCTCTGTAGTTACTAGCTCTTCACGGGATAGACTTAGCTCACATGCATTTTTAAAAACCTGGGGGAGCGTGAATGTCACAAAAAAACCCCAGTTACTTTCACAATTGTTATATGATTTTTTTTGTTTGTTTTAAAAATACCTTTGGTTTTCTTTGTCATCGCTCATGCTTCTTTCTGGTTTTCTCAACCTTCTGAGAGAATCAATTTTAAGACTGCCAAGAGAATAAGAGAAAACATTTGAGGATGACTGGTACATACACTTCAATAAGTACTTAATCTCTAACTTCTGAAACTCCTTATTTTTCAAAAATGAAGAATATCAAGTTGTTGGGTTTTTTTTCTTCTCACTGTACTTTTTTTGTCCAAACTACAGAGCCATGGATGCTTCTCAGTGAATAAGCAGCACGTGTATAGCAGGGGCATTTTACAGTAACAGTTGGACTAGATGATCATTACAGGTCCCTTCCAACTGAACTATTCTATTTTGTTCTATCACAGTTTATGCAGAATTCTGCTTTACACCTCTGGTGATCCCACAGATAACACAGGTAATACGCAAGCTCAATAGATGTTTCAGAATCCAGTTTAGCAGAATTAATTACACTTCAAATTCTTTCCAAATTTGAGCTGGTTTCGTCAAGAGTTAAGTTGCCTAGCAAAGGCAACATTGGCTTTCTTTGACATCCTGAAGTCCCCATCTACCAGGATCCTAAAAACTACAAAGTAGCAGTTCTCACTTCTATTTTACACAATGTTAAAAATACATTGAATGGCAACATTGCAAAGGCTTTCAATCAATTCTTAAAATGCAGAATCAGATTCTGGTTTATGATAGGGACAGGTCGATAAGCTGCTACAGGACAAGCTAGGGTTGTTAGCTCGTAAAACACCAGGAAAAGCAGGACAGATGCTCTTCTCCTGTAGTACCTGATGATAAAATACAGAATCAGATTCTGGTTTATGATAGGGACAGATCAATAAGCTACTACAGGACAAGCTAGGGTTGTTAGCTTGTAAAACACCAGGAAAAGCAGGACAGATATATGCTCTTCTCCTGTAGTACCTGGTGATAAAATATATTATATACATCTTGCATTACTGAATCTGACTATCATGGGATAAGAGCATACATACAACCTGCTACATGAGTAATGGCAGATCACTAGCTCTGATTTATGCAATTGTCTGATTACTGTACGTTTGAAATTAAGGTGTAGCTATCGCTTTTTAAAGTATCATTGTCAATAAAACAATATCATTCTATATTGCAGCGAAGGATCTGCTTCTTCTTACTTTCTCAGAAAAAAATGTATTGTTATGGACTTAGGTCACAGACATTTGAAATGCTTTAATCTCTTCTATTTTCTCCCTTTGTCGCATTATAGGTTTTGTGGGGCTTGTATTTTTGTGCCAATAGTCTTGAGTTTCTTAAAGGAGCTCACACAACATGACAGCACATATAAGAGCATTTGGTCCAGCAGGGTCCAGAAACGTTCTTCTCTACCTGCCATTGTGGAAGGCAAGCTGACTAGATGACTTCAAAAGCAGCACTGTGCTTTGTTGCAATTAACACACTGCTTATCTGAGAACAAACTGGAATCTACGAAAAGAAAAATTTCATTTTGGATACCATGCAAATAGCAGCCACCTCTTCTTTCTCAGATAAACTCCAGTATGATTGCCAACAAAAAACGAGTGTTTGCCAACAGCTATCACACTGAAGTATTGGAGATACTGTATGGCAGCATCTTCTTTTAGTTGGAGTGGGAAGTTGTAACTTCATGATATTTATTAGTAAATGAAGACATTTGCTTTATTTGTTCATAAACTGTGCTATTGTGTAGCTGATTAGTCAACTTGAATGGTTTCACCAAAACAAAAAAACTTCAGCAAAAAAGCTATTATTTTCCAAGTGTCACATACTGTGCTAAAATGCCTTTTCCTGAAAATCTGCATTTGAAGCATGGCTCTGCTGACTAAGATCTTTTCTGCTGCTTAACCTCCTTTAAAATAGAGATCCATATTGGCAGCAGTCATTGAAAGAAGAGCCAAATACAATACCTCTTAGGGCACTGCGGACAGTAATGTAAAGACCTATCTTCTTTAAAATGATTTAAATAAAAATTAATTAAAAACTGGAACGATTTCTTCATAAAAAATTTAAAAATACATTGAATCTCCTAACGCTATGTAAACTGCAAGCACTGCAGGCCAGCAAAAGTTGGATTTATACATAGATATGTGTCTTTCCTTCCACCTGCCAAACCCAGACAAATTCATTAAGAAACTCTTCTTCTTTCTCTCACCTCATAGGAGCCTTTCCAATGAACCTACTAATAATTTTTCAAGTGAATATTTGTCTCAAAGGTACTGACATAAGTACAACACTCAAAGCAGCTCACTTGCCAAGTTTCACACAAGCTCCTGATTTACTGAATTTTGAAGAAGCGAAGAACTGCAGTATGTTTTCTGATACAGCACATTTCCAAATTCTATCTGCATAAACAAAGACCAACACTGCATTTCACTTATAGCATCTTAATCTTATGTTACCTGAAGTGAGTTTAAAATGTTTTGGAATATCATATAGCACAAAAGCTCCTAAATAAATTTCATTTTAAAAGCTTTCTGAGAAGATACAAACTATGCATTATTACAGGGATTCACAATTCTGGATATGAACTGCTGTAGATTACTTTTTATAGAAGGAGGAAATCAAGTAAGGATGACAAAGTTTTGTGAGCTAATACAGTACCTATTCCATGCATTTCTGAAGTACACAGCATGTCTTACCTCTGTGATACTTTCGTGTTACTGAGCTTTGTAGTTGTTGGTTTGTCGGGACACAACGCCTGCCTTTTAGCTTCATCTTCATATAACTCTGCCAAGGCCAACTGTAGGAAACAGAACTCTTTTTAGAAGTCTGTAATTCCAGAACTACATATGGAACAGAAACAAGACAAAAACTAATGCAAAAAGTGTGCATCCCCAGAAAATTAGAAACATCAACATGAGAAACCCCAACTACTTGTCTAAATTCAAACTCCAGTCTGGTTTATTAAAAAAAACCACATGATGCTTAATGCCGTTGTGACTTGGAACTTGCACTCTGCTGTCATTTGGGTCATGCTGCTACACTACCGACATTCAGCCTGTATTAAATTTAGAATCACAAGACTATATACATATGTATATATTAAGCATCATTTCATTAATATTAGCAAATTGAAATAAAGTTGATAGGTTGCTCTCTCATAAGACTGGGAAGCAAATAAATTTTACAGGCATTTTACACAGAAATAGAAAAAGTGTAATTCGAATTAAGAACCAATTCAGCCTTGTTGGCTTGAAAAGACATCATTGCAAATACTTAAAAAAAAAAAAAAAAAGTTTTTCCCAAAGGTTCTCCAAATGCTGATATATCACTGGCAAGTTCATCTTGTGCAAGGGACATCTAACATGTCATTTTTAGCAATCCTTCTTTTGTCCTGAATAATACTCTACTCTGTCAATTCATCCTTAGTTTTGTTCCCAAACTATTTTGTTCACACTTTGCAAGTGATACTAAGATTTTATCCTGCACACCAGAATAAGTACTAGGCTACAATTTCATTACAGTTTTATGTGAAGGAACGCACATTAAAACAAAATGAAACATCATCTGTCCTTCAAAACACACTGCTATGAACACAGGATATTAATCCCATATTATTGTGAGGCGTTTCTGCAGGGGAAGAATATGAGCTGAGGAATTACACCCATTAAGGAACTTAAACTGAGTAACAAGTTTTTATTGAGTAACAGCTCAATAAAACCACTGAAAATCTCCACCCTGTTTGAAGATGCAAGCAATTATCTTTTATATATGTGAAGCTGATAGGGTAAGTCATAGACAACAAGTCGATGAGTAGACACTATAAGGAATAGGCAAAGACCTATCCTGTACCATCCCTAATCCAAAGACCAAGGATGCTGAGAGAGCATAAAATGGCATGGTCAGGATCTTTTGCTTTCCTCAGACCTCACCTCCTATGGTGTCACGTACAGAGCTGGATGGATGGATGGTCAGCTACTCTGACCCAGGATGGTACTTCTTTGGTTTCTACCATTTTATCAATAATCATCTACCCAAATTGCTTGTCTGCTTCTGTTGACTAACTAAAGACCTTACGAACCACAAGTGCTAACAACCAACTTTATTACTGTTACATATTGTAGCAAAGTTAATCTCAACAACAAGAACCTATGAAAATTCCAAATAGTAACCAAGAAATAGAGAAAACTATATCCACCTTTCTCTGTTAGTTATGTACAACTAAATAAAATAGGAGCAGTTTCAGTTACCAAAAGGTTCACCTGTTCTCCAATCAATTTGTTAAAATACGTTGGACCTTCATACAGTTTCAAAGTCACACACACCAAAGGAATACTGCTACAAGCATTCACAGTTATACATTTAAGTATCAATGCGGATTTACATTTGTGACCACACTCTCTCAAAACCTTCCCTGTGTAAACCTGGGAGATCTTGAAAGATCTTGCCCTTAGCCTTACACCCCGCTTGCGGAGACTGACGTTTTCAGGCGGGGAGAAGACACTCCTACCAAATAACCAGGAAATACAACGGGCGCCAAAAATAACTTCAAGCACAGTTAAAGCCCAGCTACTGAAGTGTCGGGAGAGCCCTTCCAGTTCCCTGGAGAGCTGACCACCACACGCTCCGGCCACCCACCGCTCCCTACAGTGCCTAGTGCTCTTCCTGAGGCGCCCTTCCCTTCCCAGCCTCAAAAAGGGATGAAAAAAAAAAACCCACCCAGAAAGAAAAGAAGACGACAGCCCCTGTTCAGAAGCCCAGTCCTGCCTGGCTACCGGGGGAGCAGCCCCAATTGGGAAGGAGAGGGGCGGGTGAACGGCTCCCCTGAGGCGCTGCCTGAGGGAAGGCCGGAGCGCCACTGAGGGGACCCGGCACTCCGCCCCGCTCGGCCCGGCCCGTCCCCGCCCCGCGGAGGTTGCGGGCCGCCCACCTCCACCCGCTCACCTGCAAATCGCGGGCGCTGGGTGGGCGGCCGCTGCTCCGGGGCTGCCGATCCCTCCGGCCGCTGCCAGACGCCGCCGCCGCCACTTCCCCTTCCTGCCGGGCCGGGCCTGCCCCGCCGTCCGCCATTTTCCGAGGG